CAGAGTGTAACTATTGTGTACATTTTTTTAATTAAATCTACTAATGATGTTAGGTTAGATAAATAAATTTATCTCTGACTTTAATGATTTATAATTCACTTAAAATGACATTTAATTATTTAATTATTTGACATTAATAGTTTTAGATAACAAATAGTTGAAAAAAATATGTATATAAAAGACATAATCAAAATGTGTATAAAATATTGCTAAATTTATAGATGTGTGCCTTAAAAACAACTATTTATGCAGGTGTTTATTGAAGTTATTAATTTATAATTGAGAAAGTGAACAAGAAAATATTTAGAATAAGGATCTTTAATTTTCGAAGCCATGATCTGAAAAGCCATCACTTGATTTGGGATTTAATAATTTCAAGTATTCTGCGGTCCCAATTAAAATTTGAACTAATTATGTTTTCCAATTGGGCAAAGTCAATTCAATTGAAATACGGGCTTAAGAAGAGGGTTAAAATTTTCAAATATTGATTTGAATTCTCAAAATTCTTGTATACCTCATATTATGTATCTGCTAAGTTATTGCATAATTCACGAATTACTAAAATATTTTTACAATAATAATAAAAAATTATGGTTTGCAAAATACATGCATAATATATGAAACATGTATGAATGTAAAATATACCTGTATTATTTAAAATATTGCAAATTTATAACATTCTCCATAATAAAGATTTTTACTATTTTATAACATTTAATTGTAATACAATAATAACATATTTTTCAATATTACAGTAATAATAATTACCAATTGGTTACGGTGAATATATTTTTTTTTTCTCATACATATTCAAGTATTTGTAGTTATTACTAGTGAAGGTCACTATTGATATGGTCAATTAAGAAAAGAAGATCTCCTAAGTGTATTTAAAAAATTTATATTGCAAAGATTATTTTATTTTAAATCAAACATAAACTTTTAATCCATTCTAAAAATGGTAATTTACAAATCTTTCAACTTATCCCAATGAACATATATTTGATGGCGATGATGACTGCATATATTACACACACTACACACACACGTATATATAATATATTGTAACATATAAAGTGGATTGTTTAATTGTGTTCATCTATTAATATTTTTTTTTTGGTAAATTAAAAAAAAATAATTCCAATTAAATATTTTCATTTAATGTGTATTTGAAGAACTAATAAACGCTTACAATGATCATAATATACAACAAAACTATTTTAATTTAATATGAATATAAAAAAAAAAACCAGTGAAGATGGAAACCTTGAAAGTATTATACTTGATATTCGAAAAATTAATTTTGCATTAATCTTCTATACTGGGTTTGTTAAATGACATCTAAAATTTGTAGTAATAAATAAATTTTCTGAATATAAGTATAAATTTTTATAGTTTTATAATAATTGAAATTAAGTAAAAGTATATTATTTTTTATTTATTTAAAAAATAGAAACTATACACCCTACCTCAAATTGATTACATTAAATTGATTACTAAGCCGTCTGGAGAAGCAGTAATATAAACAAAAGAGGTGGGTGCCTACTTGAATTTATATATAGCAATAAACTAATGATTATGAATGAGGGCAATAGTCCGACATTCATAAATGCAATTAGGGAAGAGGTCTTTGACATCACTCTTTGCCCTGAGTTTTTCGGCAGTAGGGTTGGCGTATGGCATGTCTCAATTGAGACATCCATGTCCGACCATAGACAGATTATGTTTGATATCATGGTCACCGGGGGCCTGGCAGAAGAAATTTATCGGCTGCCCCAATCCACAGATTGGAGTCAATTCGAAACGCTCCTCATGGATGGGATTGGATCCATTCCTGCTTCTGTCAGAACGGTGATGGATATTGAAATGGCCAGCGAGGCCCTGACGGCGGCTATTACTTGTGCCTACCATGGGAGCTGCCGCGCTAAGCAAATAGGAAGTTCCCGTGGTGGAATGAAGGGCTTTCAATAAACAATAAAGAAATTAGGAAAGCGAAGAGAATTTCGTGGAGGACGTTTTGCAAGGGCATTGATGAATTCCCCAGCAGCGCGCGTCTTCACAGGGTGCTTTCCAAAAAGTATGCTAGCGGGTTGGGCCTAATGGAACGGCTTGATGGCTCCATGACTAAGACACGGAGATTCTTCGAAATCACTCAAATGCGGTCATTGAACCGAGTGATAACTGGCTACTACCCCATTTGGTCTTCACGATGGGCAAGATTAGATGGGCTGTTTTCTCTTTCAGGCCTTTCAAGTCTCCAGGTGATGATGGGATATATCCTGCGTTTTTGCAGAGGGGTTTCCAACATATCGCTAGGACACTGTTGGAAATTTTTCGTGCCAGCTATGCGTGGAGTTACATCCCTTAGGCATGGAGGGTGGCTAAAGTGACGTATATTCCGAAGGTAGGTAAGCGACCAAGCAACCAAGCAAGGTCTTTCCGTCCCATCAGCCTTACTTCTTTTCTATTGAAAGCAATGGAAAAAGTGATTGATAGATTTATACGGGACGACGTACTGGGAAGCAATACCTTGCATGAATCTCAGTACGCCTATCAGTCGGGAAGGTCTATTGTACTCGATCTGCAGAGTCTGGTAGATACTATTTAAAAAGTTTGCGAGCATGTATCTCCTGAAAATTGCAAATATGAGTCAAATAAGTTATAAGGGAGATCACGCAAGAATTTGGAAAAGTGAAGTAAAAACTAAGTGTTGGAAATATTATTTATTGCGGCAGTTCAAAGATTTTTTTGGTAAATATGATCAAAAATACTAAAATAAAGCTATGCTGATGATTAGCAAAAATTATTCATCCAGATGTCACCTAATAAAGAGGAATCTAGAGAATGATGGCACTTTCATCCTCTGTTTAAAATTAAATGTATAATTAAATTTAATTGAAATATCAAGTTATTAAAGTGTCGGGTATAAAATCTATGAAAAAAAATTTATTATTCCATTTTCGAGATCAGAAATTATTTATAAAATATTAAAATAATAATTTTTACCTGTTAGTTTATAGAATCAAGAATTTGTCTTCGGAGAACCAATAATTATGACATGCTTTACTTTTATAGGTCATTTACTGATAGCTTTGTATAGTATCGAATGAAATAACGGTTCAACGAATCCTGACCCCGAAATATTCACAATTCAATTTCAGAATTAATTTAAGAATCTTTCTGTAAATCCATAATATCGGCATCTATTTTCCTCAAAAATGTCACTCTAAAACTATACTGCATTAAATTATGGGAATTATACACGTTTATCTACATAAATAATTTTCATATTTTTCAGATAAGAAAGTTACGTTTTTTGTTTTGTTATACAACTTGCTATAAAAAAAACGTAAAGCACTTTATTAAATCGTTGCTTTCATTATACATATTGTTATTTTATTTTTCAAAACAAAATTATATTAAAATTTATGCATATATTGTAACCGTTTTGAAAATAAATATTGCCTATATTAATAATATATGTGTATGTTCATCAGCACACCACTGGCACATTTTTTTTTCGTGCGACACAAAATGATGCATCACAATATTAGTGATTTATGAAAATTTTTTCCAAAGAAATTTTAAATTAGAGGTGTATGTGTCCATATTAATGATTATTATTGTTACTTCGGAATATAACAGATTTACAATGCATTAGAAAACAATTATTAATTATTCAGCTTATTGATATTTTATGATATTTTAGAAATATAATCGTAAATATTATTTGACAAATAACTAATTATATTTGATTACATAAAATTTAATATTTGAAAGGTGCTATATTACAAGAGTTGATAACGATTAATTCACTCAAGTTTTCGCTTTAACAATCAATCCTTTATTTATTGTTATTCTATTATTTTATTTCATTTTTTTATAATTTACCAATACATTTGAATTGCTAACATTATTAGACCATGGAGAAATTTATGCATGGCATTCCATTTTTTCCGGTTCCGCTCGCCCAGAAGCACGCTATTACAGTTTAATTATGTCGTTATTTTGAAATTTTCAGGAATAACGGGTGACGAGTTTGGATTTGACTTTATTCGACCCAAAATATTTACAAATGAAGTTTGACAACCAATTAGTGTCAGAATGAATCGGCGCTCCCACCTAGGTAGAAAGGGACCTTACAGCGTTAGAACAAAGTGTTCGGAATAAATAATCTTTCAGAACCAAAAAGTTTCCTGGAATTACCAATTTCCTTACATTCAAATTCAGTCATATTCATTTTTTTTCTGTAGAACCATGAAGTCTCTAGATATATCAGACTTCAAAAAAAATTGTGCGTTTTTGAAGTGTTTTATTCCTTAAAATTAGTTTTGAATATTTCTCCTATTTGTACTTAGTTTTAAAGCTTAATGCTTTAAATGAGATTGACATAATAGTATTGTAAATACACCCTTAGTAAGCTTAGGCACACTCAATAGCCAGTAAGGGAATTAGGCGCCTTTGTTGTAGACATCTTTGGTGAGTTATTGTAGTTGATAATGTTAATATTTTTACCCAAATAATGTTAATAATTCTCATAGTCGGATTGACCTTACCCAACTATTAAACTTTAACCTTCGTGAACTGTTGAACACAATTTTATTTGAAAATTTTAGCATGATTTCTATTAAGATCACTTCAAATTTTTACACTATTCACTTTTACCTTTATCTTGTTATATGTACTTGTATAACACCACTCTCTTCCTTATTACATAAATTTTTAATAAAAAATAAACACTTTTTATTTTAATTTTTTTATATAAAAATTCTTTAAATTTTTTATTTATATACTAAAATGACAGATTTTGTGATTATTTTAAATGGTATTATGAAATTTTTCTATAAAATATTTTATTAAATTTAATTTTTTTTTTGTGTTTTAATAACCTATGTTTTTTTTTTATGTTTGTTCTTAATTTGTTTTTGATGTTAAAATGATTTTCATAATTTTCATTCTAGAAATACTGCATGTTCTTTTATTGCTTTATTATTTTTTTGCTTTTATCTATATTGTTGATCTTCTCCGCCACCATGTGCTTTAATATATTCTAATGCTCTTTGTATAGCTTCTGGTATTGGTGGTGGTGTTGGTAAATGATCACCTACTGGATGAAAACCAGTTTCATCAGCAACATATTGTAATTTAATTATTTGACCATCTGGTGCTGTATATGAGAAACCACCATCAGCTATTTCAGCTGTTTCACCATTACCTAAATCTTTACTATGTCCTTGTTCTTGTGCTCTAATACCATTACTTGTTTCATATTCGAAATTATAACTACCATCAACATCAATAAAATTGATATTTTTTAATATAACAGCACTTTGATCATCACTTGTTACAGCAGCAACACCAACATCACTAGAACTACTTGCATGTGAACCAAAATCATGATGTGAACTAGAACCAGATCCGGTTCCACCACTACCGCTACCACTTCCACCTCCACCCAAATGTGATAATCCTACACCGCTATGTGATGATCCAGCACCAGTTGGAGCATATGATGGATAACCAGATCCTGTATGATCATGACCAGATGGTGGTGTATGTGATGCTGGTTTTGATGGTGGCAAATAACCATTTTTAGGATCTTGTCCCAAAACGGTACTTAATAAAGATGTTAAGAAAACTGAAATCTGGATAAATTGAAGAGGAAAGAGAAATTTAATTAATTTAAATCGTGAAATTTTAACTAGGTTATTTAATATAAGCTTTAAATCACTAATAAAATTTAATATAATGGATCTTATTTATATAATCCTTTAAGATTATGATGTCCTTTTTCATTATTTCATATAACTTACCACAATTTTAGATAAAGCCATATTTAATGTTAATATTTCTAATCCACAAAATGCACTGTGATCTTTGAAGCATGAACTAGTTTTATTTATACCAAATTTTACCAAAAAAAAAAAAAGAAAATATATAAACCAACATTTTTACTAATTTACAGTAAAATGAGAAGAAAAAAGGAAAAAACTAACAGATAACAAAAATACAAGAAAAATAAAAACAACAAAAAAAAATTATGAGAAAAGAGAGTTAAAGATGAGATTTTAGCTGACAGCATTTTATTTTAAATAATAAATCGAAAATTATGCTGCGTGCCAACCACAATAACTTTAATTCGAATATATGTAGATGTACATACTCACCTCATATATGGTTATACACTTGCACACATATGTGTATGTACGTTGTACTACAAAAACATTATTGGAATTAGTAAAAGTGTACCTAATTTTGTAACATCTGTTGAATATGTTAAGAAAACTGTTAAGTGCTATTATTCGAATATTGTTCGAATATTTTTGGTTCGATTTTATTTGGTACTCGTATATACACTCTTTATCCATAAATAATATCAGTTACATATCTTATTATTAAATTATATCTATTACACTTTTATTATGCCGGTTTCATTGTTGTTGTTTACAGACAAATTAAGAAAAAAATGAACTAAAAAAAAAAAACATTTCTTTGCAAAAATTGTTATCAACAAAAAAAAAATAGAAAATAAAACAAAAACAATATTTTGTAACAGCAAAAAACTTTACACAAACACCTATAATGTTTATTAAATTTTTACCAACCACTGCATGCATACTATTGAGGAAGGTATTGTGATGGCATTAAATTTCACTGATTAAGTTTTCGACTAACACCTATTTCTCCACGAAATAGAAGAATAAGTAATTTATTCTTGAATAGGTCTGTCTGTCGTCTTTTTGGGTAGAGTCGAGTATATCAATCAAAATCGGCTGAACCAATGAGTTAATTAATATTTTGGATGATATCATGTCTCAGAATTGAAGAATTGAACAATATGTATTCCCAGGTTGATATGTTACAGGAATTTTCGTGTCCAGATCTCTCCTTGTAGTATATATTTTTCGAGACTCTTTGATGCCTAAGTTTTAATTGCTTTTTAATAAAATAAGAGGGAAGTGTACGCCATATTGAACGAATTTGAAATTTTGTAACTGGCCGCGATTCCGGCTCAGAAATTCCAAAAAAATATTTTCGAAACTAGTGGGAAAATGCTGTTACGAGCTAACGTGGTTGCTCATCACATTTCTCTAAGTTTTGGGTATAAATAAATAAATTCGTCAAAAAAATATAAATAAATTCGTTAGAGCAGGTTTAATTGGTGAGAGTAGGTTTTCTTTAATATTGTTAAAGACCTAATTATGCGGGACGATTAGCAAAATGAAGTCAAAATGTGAAGAAGGATTTCCAGAAATCCGGTCTCATGTATGATATTATCGATTTTCACAGATTCATCAATACAACCGGATGGTTTAGGAAGGCAACCTCAAATCGGATATTCGATGACTACCAGGTACTCAGGATAACTTACAAACACAAATTTACTGCCATTCATATTACATATTTAAAAAAATATACAATGCAGTTCGTTATGTGCTGTGCTGACCCCATTAGATTTTTTTTTTGAATGGTGAGAAGAAGAAATTGTAAATAGTTAACAAAACAATATTGAGTAACATAAAAAAAATTATGGGTTATTATTACTTTTATTTTGGATAAATTTTGGAATAATAGTTAATTTTCAATATTTTTATAATTTTAACAATATTTTCTATTTTCAAATTTGTGTTTTATTTTGTTATTCTAGTATTGTAATGTTTGTCATTCGTTTTTTCTTTTACTTCTGGGAATATTCGGTTGAACATTCGAATTTATTGAACACATTTTTAATTTAACTAATTTTTAAATTATTTTTTCTATTGTAAAATTTCATTATGATATTTCCTATATATGATGAATTATTATGATCATATTGATCACCAATTATTATTTTATTAATCCTCTATAATTTTTATTAGATCATATTTTATACAATATGTATGCCTATATGTACTTTTGTGGATATACGAGCATATAAGGCCATATGTGACGTCGTCATATAGAAAGATGGTAAAAAGTGTTGGGTTGGTTGGTGTATAAAAACAAAAAAAAAAACATAGTTTGCGAAAAATGGGTCTGCTATTTTTGAATGAAAATTAAAAAAAAAAATAAATTTATTATTTTTTAATTTTTAATTGCGTAGTTACCGGCAAAAATTTAGAAATTTTCGTGATATACTTATGGTATAATTTGTATTGGTATACCCGAATTTATAAGAAATGAGTAATTTTTGTTGGTCAATCAGTATAACCCAAGCTGTCATGTTCGTGTATAATTAAAGTGAAATTCTTGGGAGCAAAAAAATAAGGAGAAAAAAAAACACAAAGTAAATTGAAATAGGCAATATGTGTTTTTTTTTTACAATTCTCTATAGTATAGATAAAATTTACTATGGTATGAATAAAATAAAAAAGAAAACAAATTGGTTTTTCCACATAAACTTCAAGTTTTTTTTTTTTTTTCTTGAATTCCTCATAAAATATCAAAATCTTAAATAAATATAGAAAAAAAAAGTAGTGAATTAAATGTAGTTAATAACATAATAAGTGGCTATGCCATACACCAAACATATTATAAAATTTGATGTGACAAATTATAGTGAATTTAATATTGCAAAAGTTCAAATTATAAAAATAAAGAAAAAAATTTTTTTTTCTGTGTGTATAGCTGTAGAGCAGATTTTGATAAATTAATATTAGGGTTTTTTTTATAGGAGTTTTATAATAATTGTTCCGTTTGTTTCATCTTACACTTGTTATTAAATTTAAAGTTTAATGTTATTCGACACCTTTATATTGTTAGATTTGGGATTTTAATTTATAGTTTATGATTATTTTCTATTATATGATAAGAGGTATAAAGTATAACAGATTTGATTGAGATGTTTTCATATATGTAGTTAAGAGAGTTTGAATAATTTGGGCCAGTATTTGAATTTAATAGTAAATTCATGATATACTGACGTCTTTGTTATATAGGCAATTTTAGAGAAAGCAATAAAAATAGTTATTGTTAAAAAATGGAGGTAGAGCTGAGTATTGCAATCCAAAATTTCCTGAAAATCGTCAACTAAACAGGCTAGAACATTTTTTATTTTGAAGTCTTTAATTATGTATTTTTTTCAATATTCTATGTTTCGCATTTTAATGTGAAAAACATAGAATACCGAAAATTTTTCTATCATAAAATTTATAAATGTATCATTGGAGAATTCTTAAAATTTGCTCATTGCACTGAAATAATAATGATAACTGAAGAGATAACAACACAGCAGCCATATTTAAAAATTTATATTACAAATTAAGGTGAATTAAATTGTAAAATCAATGAATAAAATAATAAGCATAGACTGAATAAAGTAAAAGAGCCGAATGTCAGAAATTTGATAAAGCAGTCATTTTTATAATTAATATAAAAAGCTTCCAAATTTGGCCACATTAATTTGTAATCGCTATATAGATTACGACAATAAAAATTAAATTAAAAAATATGTGTTTTATTGGTTTTCCATAATACTAAGGGCTATAGAGAGTAATTTTTAATAAATTTTTGTTGATACAAAACTTATTTGTTTTTGTCAATCTTAATTATCTGAATTACGTCTGTGCATTTATTATTTTCTAATAGTAAATATGACAATTAAAGATTTTTATATTATTGCAGATATCTTTTAGGTTGAAATGTCAAACATTTCAAAATTTGCTAATTTTTCTAAACAATTTGATATTAATAAGACAAGTTCAAATTTTTAAAAGTGATTTATTAAGTCTTTCTGAATAGATGATTATTATCTATTGTTAATTATAATTTTTTTTTTCAAATAAATAAAAATATGGAATTATTAAAAATTGGAGTGGCATTTAAAATTTTTTTCTTTAATAATTTTTTTTTTGCCATAAAACTATGTATTCTTTATAAAGATTAACTTTTACTTTTAATGATGAAGCATTTTTAATTTGTACTCGTATTGTGAAAATATTAATGTGTCACATTTTATTTAGATCAATTTTTTTTGGTTATTATTTTGAATGAAAAATTGTGTATTTTCTTATATTTGACTTTTTTCGATTATGATCCTGCACAGAAGATCATGGATGTCATACGTCATAGTTAAAAATAATTTATTTAGTCTTAGAGTTTTTGATTTTATTAAAGATTTTATTTTATTTGCAAAAAGGTCGAATCATGCGCTACATTTTTTTGAAAGTATGATGGCGCAGGCGGACAAACAATTTTTAGTTTTGATATTCTTATAATTAACTACGTGAATTCAAAATTATAGTGAAATTGCAACTGCATGATCGCATGTAATCAAACAGTAATAATGGTTAAGGTAACACAATCGATTTAAATTGACGCAATAATTAAGTTGCTAGTAATCGCCAAACTAAATATTGAGCCCTAAGACAACTCAACTAATTAAATTTTGGCACTTAAAAAGTAATTCTGTTCAACTGCATGGAATATCAAATTTTTTAAATTTACAAAATCAAATAGTCTAATAATATTCAATAAAATAATTTAAAATTCAAAAAAATTTGAGTGATATAATCAAACTAAATTGTTATAATGCCATATAAGTGTTCAAAATTTTGACAAGTCTAGACATATGTTGTATATATCCTATAATGTAATCATAATATTAAAAAAAAAATTTGAAAGTAGTCCTTTATTTATGAGATTATTTAAAAATTTTATAAATTACAGGTGTCATTTCTATATTTGAATATTTTTTCTCTTTATTTGTAAATCAATAAAGATAAAGTGATAAAGAAAGGTGTTAAATAATAAAGCAAAAAAAAAAGAAATGTTTTTTTTTTATAGGTTTGGCCATTTTATTGTTTATTATTAATTATGTATTTTTTTAGATGTTGATATAAAATATAAATTTGGA